TTACAATAGAAGTTCATGCTTGTTTGGTCTTTAATACTGATACATAGAAGTTTATGTTTGTTTGGCCTATAACACAGTAGTTTATGTTTGTTTGGCCTATAATTCAGTTTACAATAGAAGTTCTTGTTGGTTTGGTCTGTAATACTGATATATAGAAGTTTATGTTTGTTTGGCCTATAATTCAGTTTACAGTAAAAGTTTCTTGTTGGTTTGGTCTGTAATACTGATGTATAGAAGTTTATGTTTGTTTGGCCTATAACACAGTAGTTTATGTTTGTTTGGCCTATGCTACTGTATTTATAGAATGCAGTTTACAATAGAAGTTCATGCTTGTTTGGTCTGTACTGCAGTTTGCAGTAGAAGTTCATGCTTGTTTGGTCTGTAATACTGATACATAGAAGTTCATACTTGTTTGGCCTATAACACAGTAGTTTATGTTTGTTTGGCCTATGCTACTGTATTTATAGAATGCAGTTTACAATAGAAGTTCATGCTTGTTTGGTCTGTACTGCAGTTTGCAGTAGAAGTTCATGCTTGTTTGGTCTGTAATACTGATACATAGAAGTTCATGTTTGTTTGGCCTCTAACACAGTAGTTTATGTTTGTATGGCCTTTGATACTGTATTTATATATATATAGAAATGAATGTCTGTTTGGTATATAATTAGCTCACCTGGCCTGAAAGTGCGGTGTCCGTCATCCGCCCATTGTCCGGCATCAACATTTTACTTTAAACAACTTCTTCTTAATAACCAAGAGGCCTAGTGTGATGTTATTTGGCCAGAAGCAAACTGGAATGAAAGGCTACCAAGTTTGTTCAAATAAATAACCTTCACCTTTTTTCAAGGTCACAGGGGGCATATATGTTAAAAACTTGAAACAACTTCTTCTGAATAACCAAAATGCCCAGGGTGTCAATATTTGGCCAAAAGCATGCTGGGATGAAGGGCTATCAAGTTTGTTCAAATGAATGACCTTCATTCATTTTCAAGGTCGCAGGGGTCAATTGTCTTAAAAAATATTTAAACAACTTCTGAATAACTAAGAGACTTAGGATAATGATATTTGGCCAGTTGCATGATATGATAAAGGGTTACCAAGTTTGTTTAAATGAATGACTTTGACAATATTCAAGGTCACAAGGGTCAAATATGTTTGAAACCTTTAAACAATTTCTTTTGAATAACCAAGAAGCCTAGGATAATGATTTTTGCCCAGTAAAATGCTGGGATAAAGGGCTACCAAGTTTGTTGAAAAATGACCTTAACAAGTTCAAGGTAACAGGAGTGAAATATGTTTGAAACCCTTAAATAACTTATTATGAATAACCAATTGGCCTAGGATAATGCTATTTAATCAGTAATTTGCTGTGATGAAGGGCTACCAAATTTGTTCAAATGAATCACCTTTATTTCTATTCAAGGTCACAGGAGTCAAATATGTTTGAAAACTTTAAACAACTTCTTCTGAAATACCAAGAGGCCTATGGTTATTATATTTGACCAGTAGCATGCTTGGATGAAGGGCTACCAAATTTGTTCAAATAAATTGCCTTCATATATTTTCAAGGTCACAGGTGTCAAATATGTTAAAACAACTTTAAACAACTTCTCAATAATCAAAATGCCCAGGGTGATGATATTTGGCTAGTAGCATGCTTGAATGAATGGCTACCAAGTTTGTTCAAATGAATGACCTTGACTTATATTCAAGGTCACAGGGGTCAAATGCGAATAACACCTTTACGCAACTTCTTCCCAATAACCCAAAGTCCTAGAATGAATATATTTGGCCAGTAGCATCCTAGTTGTTTGTTTGGCCTATAACACAGTAGTTTTTGTTTATATGGCCTATGATACTGTATTTATAAAAATGAATGTCTGTTTGGTATATAATTCTATTTACACAGAGGCCTTTTGTTTGTTTGGCCTATAAAACTGTCAACATGCCAGATATATGTTTTAAAATTGCTTGTTTTGGTACTAAAAGGTTTTAGTCTGCGACGATGGACTTGCCTCTCCCCCTCCGCCTGTTGCGTTACACACTGCGGATTGCCTATGTCATAGTTACCAACTTTATGGCAATCCCGGCCTACATCACCTGGATGATTCTCCTGTACCCTGTAAAGTGCCTAGCACCAAACATCTTCTGGACCATAGAACCCATTCTGTTTAAAGGACTGCTGGCTTTCGTAACATTCTGGATCAGCTCTGGCGGCTACAGAAGTAAGTGATCAATTATCAAGGAACTATCAATGTTATCAGACTCTGGATAATCATAATGTAATGTGTAAAAGGATATGTACAGGGATGGACAATTTCATATTAACAGTTCTAGCCTGCGGGCAGATTTTCAAAATTTCACTCACATGACCTGTATTTAGATAATAAATATAAAATGTTTTGTACTTGCCCTGTGAAATGTACTGGCCTTTGGTACCTGGCTAATGGAATTGTACACAGCTGATGTGTATAATAAGATGTTGGATACAATGTCATGTATCATAGCTTGAAACACGCCTAATGTGTATAATAAGATGTTAGATGTATCATAGCTTGATACACGCCTGATGCGTATAATAAGATGTAAGATGTATCATAGCTTGATACACACCTGATGTGTGTAATAAGATGTTAGATACAATGTCAGGTATCATAGCTTGATACACACCTGATGTGTATAATAGTTAGATGTATCCTAGCTTGATACACACCTGATGTGTATAATAAGATGTTAGATACAATGTCAGGTATCATAGCTTGATACACACCTGATGTGTATAATAAGTTGTTAGATACAATGTCAGGTATCATAGCTTGATACACACCTGATGTGTATAATAGTTAGATGTATCCTAGCTTGATACACACCTGATGTGTATAATAAGATTTTAGATGTATCCTAGCTTGATACACGCCTGATGTGTATATAAGATGTTAGATGTATCCTAGCTTGATACACACCTGATGTGTATAATAAGATGTAAGATGTATCATAGCTTGATACACGCCTGATGTGTATAACAAGATGTTAGATGTATCATAGCTTGATACACACCTGATGTGTGTAATAAGATGTTAGATACAATGTCAGGTATCATAGCTTGATACACACCTGATGTGTATAATAGTTAGATGTATCCTAGCTTGATACACACCTGATGTGTATAATAAGATGTAAGATGTATCAAAGCTTGATACACACCTGATGTGTATAATAAGATGTTAGATACAATGTCAGGTATCATAGCTTGATACACACCTGATGTGTATAATAAGATTTTAGATGTATCCTAGCTTGATACACGCCTGATGTGTATATAAGATGTTAGATGTATCCTAGCTTGATACACACCTGATGTGTATAATAAGATTTTAGATGTATCCTAGCTTGATACACACCTGATGTGTATAATAAGATGTAAGATGTATCATAGCTTGATACACGCCTGATGTGTATAACAAGATGTTAGATGTATCATAGCTTGATACACACCTGATGTGTATTATAAGATGTTAGATGTATCATAGCTTGATACACCCCTGATGTGTATAATAAGATGTTAGATACAATGTCAGGTATCATAGCTTGATACACACCTGATGTGTATAATAAGTTGTTAGATACAATGTCAGGTATCATAGCTTGATACACACCTGATGTGTATAATAAGATGTTAGATACAATGTCAGGTATCATAGCTTGATACACACCTGATGTGTATAATAAGATGTTAGATAAAATGTCAGGTATCATAGCTTGATACACACCGGATGTGTATAATAAGATGTTAGATAAAATGTCAGGTATCATAGCTTGATACACTCCTGATGTGTATAATAAGATGTTAGATACAATGACAGGTACCTAGCTTGATACACGCCTGATGTGTATAATGAGATGTTAGATGTATCATAGCTTGATTCACACCTGATGTGTATAATAAGATGCTAGATGTATCATAGCTTGATACACGCCTGATGTGTATAATGAGATGTTAGATGTATCATAGCTTGATACACACCTGATGTGTATTATAAGATGTTAGATGTATCATAGCTTGATACACGCCTGATGTGTATAATAAGATGTTAGATACAATGACAGGTATCATAGCTTGATACAAGTGTCAACATACTTTATTCAGGGATCATTTTGTTTAAGAAAAAGAATGGGCCAATTAAGGCAGATTCAAGTAAAATAAACATATAAGTAGACTTTCCATAGTAAATAAATGGGAAATTGGCTTATATATAGATTTGATGGGTCGTTGTTATTTTGGTGGCCCAAATGCTCCTTTCAAATTGATCCCTAAATGCTTGGAAGAAAGAAGTGTAATTTACATCTGTGTAAGTAGCTAATATTTGTGAAAAATGATGCACGAGGGAATTATAAGTGTCACTGACATATTTTACATTCTAATATATTTTTCAAAACCAAATTTCTCTTAGACTTGATGTAATACAAAAAGGAAAATTCTTTTCACTGTAAGGTACTAGGGTAAACGTCACCATACATTGTTTGTTTTGTGTGAAAATCTTATCTAAACTGAGCCCTAAAGGTAAATACTTTGTGATACAGGTAAAAACTGACCATCAAGGTGAATTCATGGTCCATTACCAGTCACACCATTACTACAATCATAGAGAATGTAGTAATGGCATGACAGTTGCCAGTGGCCAGTTGCCAGTGGCAGGCATATACTGTGCTTAGTTGACAATATAAGCCAACAGTGGTCAACAGCCCTACCAATTCAATTCAAATTAGGCCTTTGTTATTTGAAAGGACATTAAGGATGTTATAAGATATTGTTATCAATTGAAAACTACTTTTTTAAATAGCACATTAAAAAAACTATAAGTCAACGCTAACTAGTCTTTTCCTTATTGCAAAATTGTTAAAGAAACCATGAGCTGAAATTCTCCAGTCACGTACTCTGATGCGTTTTTAGAAATTGATGCTTAAATTGTAACTAAAGTAAGAAATCAGACACTAGGAATATTTTAATTACAGGAATATTCACTGAAGTTGATCATTACATGATCTTATATACCCGGTAGGTGTAACATCACGCTACCCAAATTGGTACACTATCAAAAAATGAGTAATAAAATACGACAAATAGGAATAGTACTTTAGTATTAAATTTGTGTATTTTCCTCTGTTGGTATAATAGTATATAATAGTAGGGACATTTATCAGTATTGGTGTACTTCCCTCTGGTGGTATAATAGTAGGGACATGTATCAGCATTGGTGTACTTCCCTCTGGTGGTATAATAGTAGGGTCATTTATCAGCATTAGTGTACTTCCCTCTGGTGGTATATTAGTAGGGACATTTATCAGCATGTGTGTACTTCACTCTGGTGGTATAATAGTAGGGTCTTTTATCAGCATTTGTGTATTTCCCTCTGGTGGTATAATAGTATATAATAGTAGGCACATTTATCAGCATTTGTGTACTTCCCTCTGGTGGTATAATAGTATATAATAGTAGGCACATTTATCAGCATTTGTGTACTTCCCTCTGGTGGTATAATAGTTGGGACATTTATCAGCATTGGTGTACTTCCCTCAGGTGGTATAATAGTAGGGACATGTATCAGCATTGGTGTACTTTCCTCTGGTGGTATAATAGTTGGGACATTTATCAGCATTTGTGTACTTCCCTCTGGTGGTATAATAGTTGGGACATTTATCAGCATTTGTGTCTGGTGGTATAATAGTATATAATAGTAGGGACATTTATCAGCATTTGTGTATTTTCCTCTGGTGGTATAATAGTAGGGACAAGTATCAGCATTGGTGTACTTCCCTCAGGTGGTATAATAGTAGGGACATTTATCAGCATTAGTGTACTTCCCTCTGGTGGTATATTAGTAGGGACATTTATCAGCATGTGTGTACTTCACTCTGGTGGTATAATAGTAGGGTCTTTTATCAGCATTTGTGTATTTCCCTCTGGTGGTATAATAGTATATAATAGTAGGCACATTTATCAGCATTTGTGTACTTCCCTCTGGTGGAATAATAGTAGGGACATTTATCAGCATTTGTCTACTTTCCTCTGGTGGAATAATAGTTGGGACATTTATCAGCATTTGTGTACTTCCCTCTGGTGGTATAATAGTAGTGACATTTATCAGTATTTGTGTACTTCCCTCTGGAGGTATAATAGTAGGGACATTTATCAGCATTTGTCTAATTTCCTCTGGTGGTATAATAGTTGGGACATTTATCAGCATTTGTGTCTGGTGGTATAATAGTATATAATAGTAGGGACATTTATCAGTATTGGTGTACTTCCCTCTGGTGGTATAATAGTAGGGACATTTATCAGCATTAGTGTACTTCCCTCTGGTGGTATAATAGTAGGGAAATTTATCAGTATTTGTGTACTTCCCTCTGGTGGTATAATAGTATATAATAGTAGGCACATTTATCAGCATTTGTGTACTTCCCTCTGGTGGTATAATAGTTGGGACATTTATCAGCATTGGTGTACTTCCCTCAGGTGGTATAATAGTAGGGACATTTATCAGCATTAGTGTACTTCCCTCTGGTGGTATAATAGTAGGGAAATTTATCAGTATTTGTGTACTTCCCTCTGGTGGTATAATAGTATATAATAGTAGGGACATTTATCAGCATTTGTGTACTTTCCTCTGGTGGTATAATAGTAGGGACATTTATCAGCATTTGTCTACTTTCCTCTGGTGGTATAATAGTTGGGACATTTATCAGCATTTGTGTATTTTCCTCTGGTGGTATAATAGTAGGGACATGTATCAGCATTGGTGTACTTCCCTCAGGTGGTATAATAGTAGGGACAT